CTATTAACATTTCTCTATCTGTAGAATGGGTCTGTTTTATATTTGTCTTCTCAATTCAGAGGACCCCCTGCCTGTCTTTGCCTAGGACCCCAGATTTCCTAAATCCGGCCCTGCTGCTTTTTATAGGCCAGGAGTTGGCCACCTAAAAATGTTCATTGGACTAAAAAAACAAAAAGTTGTATAATAGCCCTCTATCAAAACAACTAATTAGGCTTAAATACATCATAGTCATTCATAATTAAATGTTTATTTTCCCTGCAACGCAAATGAAACCATGTGACTAACCTTCTGCACGATATTAGCTAATTTAAGTTTAACTTAATTTATAGTGTTAATGTATTATGATTTCTTTCATCATTGGAAATATAGAAATACAATATCGAAACCAAATTTTTTGTTATGTTTCCTTTGAGGATTAAAAAAAAAAAATTTGCTTGAGGACTGCGGTGATTTCAAACCTCATTGTGGAAATAAAATGCAGTCCTCTTCAAACCACAGTATAATACAATCCTCCTTTCCCTTCCTTATCAGGGTAAAAGTGCAATAAAATGCTGCCTGCAACAGCACCCTTTTGATACGCTAAGTATTGGGCTATGGAAACTAAAATAAGATTACATGGGCTGTAAATGTATTAGCCCACTATAAAAAAGACTACAGGGGCTTAAATATATAATAAGCATTCATGATTAAATGTTTATCCTGGAGCAAAGTCACATAATGTGACTCTGCTGTACCATATTTGGTGCTTTAAGTTTAAATTCCATTACAATATTAATCTTCTATTTTTTGTTGCATTGATGAAATTATAGAAATGCAATAAGGAAATCAGTTTTTGCTGTTATTTTTATTTTGAGGATTAGGGGCAAAAATGGAAGACAGTTCCCTGCATCAGAGCGCTACCTGTTGGATCTATGAACAGTTTTCTATGTTTGCAGCCAAACTAGCAGCAGTAGTGGAGTTTGGAGATGCAACCTACTTCTTAAATCTATCTTTGCTCTCCTCTAATTTATCCAGAAGTTCTGCATTCACACTTTTTCTCTCCCTCCAAGCTTGGTGGTGGGCTGCAGATTTAGTCTTCCCTGGAAATGCCTTTCCTAAATATGCATTTGATTATTTGACAGCTTCTCATTATGTTTGTTTGACCTGCTGCACACCTTATTAAAATAAACATTTTCATACATTTTTTGAAAAAGCCCCAGTGAGCCAAAATGGGGGTATTAAAGAGCCACATGCGGCTCTGGAGCCGCGGGTTAGTGACCCCTGGTCTATTCTAACACCAATACCCCAAACATAATTTCCTATTATATTACTTGCCATAATTGTCTATTCCTAAACCCAAGGTCAGCGGACTTCTTGCCAAATCCCATCACTATGATAGTTTTCTCCTAATACTAATATTTGTAAAACTTTTGCTTTACCCTAACATTATTCTCATATTTTTTTGACAAATATCAAAGCCTTAAATCTAAGCTATTAGTCTTAATATGCCCCACAAAGATAAATCAATCCAATCTAGGAGCTTATCTTACAATTGAAGCCTTTGGTTAAACAGAACCTATAAACAAAGCAGTTATCTGCTTTCCAAACACCTTTTTAATTTTAATGTAAAGGTAAATTCCACTCCATGACTGTGTGTTGGCCCGTGCATTGGCTTTGGCTTAGGCATTTGACTGGGTGGGGAGAGTTATCGAGAGATTGTTCTTCACCTAACCATTATGGGTTCATACCAGTGGCGGCTGGCCAATAGAGGGCGCCCCACCTACCCAATAACCTTGATTAAGATATATATATAAAAAAAAAAAAAATTAAAATCAAATTATAAAATAAAAATTTTTCAAAATATATTGATATATATTTTTTAGATGTGCAAGATGAATATTTTATCCTGAATGACGAGTAAAGCTGTTTAGTTTTTTCCTCGGTTTGGTGATGCATTTCTGCCCTAGGGCGCACAAAAGTTTGCTCGTTGACTCCCGTTAAAAGTGGTACTTGTGCAGTAGGTCCTCTGCAATACAGAAGTATAGGAGAGCTTAGGGTTTAGGATAGCTGCACCCAGAGGGAACAGGATCTGTTGTCACAGTTCTTGTGAGGGTGAATGACAGTCCGAGTCACAGAGGAGGTTAAATCGTTTGTACCTGATCAGCTGAACATCAAAATTGGCTAGGCTAACTGCATGCAGCAAGGCTAAGGCTTTATCCTGCTTTCCCTCTATCAAACGTCAGGATCTGATAAAGCATGGATAAAGACAGCTCGGACTGATTTAAAGCACTTTTTAGAAAAGGCAAAGAAGAATAAACAATCTGGGATTGACATGGAAAATAAAAGAATATAGTTTACTTTTTCTGGATGTTTGTTCATTTGCATAGTTGCTCTTAAATAAACACATTCTCAGAAAATAAATAGTTTTTAAACTAAAAAATATAAAAAACTCATAGAAAACACAGATTTACCTTCACAAAGCCTCAGAAGGACAAGATTTATGAACAAAAAGTAAACCTGTACATGAAATTATGTTTTGTTTTTATAAAGTGTAGATAATGTTTTGTTGTTCGCATTCATGTATATATACTGGCATGATAACTTAGTATACATTTGATTGGTTCTTGGTATGCATCTATTTTGTATTTGTAGCCCCCCTGGAGAAAACTCCACCAGCCGCCACTGGTTTGCATATTTTTTGGAAGCCAACATTTATCTGCCTTATTTAAAGCTGACTTCTATTTTTCTTTTTGTTGATCGGTGTGCTACCATCATGCCAAGATTTAAAAAGGTTCTCTTGACTTCAGAGACCTATTCTGTTTTATTTTTAGTGATGCGTTGATGCCATTTTTTGGCCCCGATACCGATACACGATACCTGGCTGTGCAGTATCGGCCGATACTGATACCATCTGTTTGAAATTGATGTGTGTGTGTATATGAAGAACTGCATAATACTGTGATGTAAAATAATTGCCATCATAGCTTTGTCAAGCTGCTGCCTCTCTTTGTAAAGCAGGAAAAAGACTAATACAAAGTGAATCCAGTAGAACTTTTTATTGCCTACCTGGAATGGGTGACAATAGTTGAAGAAACTTTTTGCTCTCAAAATGGTATCGGTTTCCTATTTGTTGGTACTCACTGATACTGATACCACCATTTTAGTACTGGATCAGGCCCCGTCCGATACTGGTTTCAGTATCGGTGCAACACTACTTATTTTGCAATGTATTTCTCTTATTCTACCTATGAATTTCCATTACCACTGCAGAGGAGTACTGGCTAGGGTGAAAGCCTGCTATAAGAGGTTTGATGGATTCTTGAAGAATTAACTCGAGTAAAATCCTTGTCAGTGTTCATATAAATAAACTGGTTTGATAACTCAGAATACATTTGATCCCCTCCCCAGAGAAAACCCCACCAGCCGCCACTGGTTGATACCTAACCCCAACCTAAATTCAATTCACATCTTAGTCATGTGGAGTAAAAAATTTTGAGGTATGTCTGTTCTTAGCCTCACAGGCTTCAAATAAAGGTCATGAGAGATAAGAATGGGTTCCATAGCCTCCTTCATGGCATGAAGGGGAGGACTGCTGTTTAGAGGAGATCCGTCTGACCAGTGAAAGATATGTTAACCTGACAGCAAACGGCCTTGATGAACTCAAGTTGGTTTTCCTCCAAATTTTCAAGTGTGAGAAAGTTCTTTATGCAGGGGGTGGGCTGGTTCCCCTGGGGGGAGTGAGTGTGTTGGTATAAATGTTTGTATTGAGTTTGCCTCAGTCATAGAGCCCTATCTCTCCGTCTGAGGACGTTTAATAAATTTAAACCTTTTTTCTTGCAAGAAATGCCTCCATCTCAGCTTCCTAACTCCACACCCCTAAACATCACCCTTGACCCTAAAGCCGCAATTGCCCACAGGCATTAGAAAATTGGTCCCCACTCTAATGCAAAAGAAGAGAAGACCAGTCAAAAAGTGCCGACCTATAAATCCCACAGTGTTGCATATTCCTGGGAAATATCCCCCCAAGGTACCAAAACCAGTCTACACACACACACCAACCACCAGCAAACATATTGGACTGAATTATCTCTATAAAGTACCCTGAGCTAAAATTTGCCAGTCAGAAGCTAAAGATTTGCCAGTCAGAAACTAAAGTTTCTCCAAACTGATATTTTATTGTCTGTTTTCATTTTTTGATCGTCTTCTTGAAGCTTTCGTGAAACGACTTTGGTATCCCTGAATTCTTAGATACCAAGCAGACATTTCAGCTACTTCTATGAGCTAAGTACGCTTTCCATGCTGTTCTGCGATAGATATGGGTTTCTACTGAACCAGCAGTACAGCCACCTGGCAGAGATCGAGCTGACGGCGACTCTGCTGAACATGGTGGAAGCTGAGGAGGGACAGTACCAGCTGGGACGCACCAAGGTCATTAAAAGCTCATCCTTTCCACTCTTCCCTTACGTTTGTCCAAACTAGTCAGAATTACCACCAGTATCTGGGCAACTTGAGTTTGTCTGCTAAACCAAGCCCTAGAAACGTAGGCCTTATTTTTCACAATTGACATTTTCCTTAGAGGACCACTTAAAGCTGCTGACAAGGAACCATTTTTACCAACTGAGGAAAATCTCTAAACTTAGAACAACTGTGTCCAGAGATGATCTTGAAATTATTATCTATGCCTTTGGTTCTTCCTGTTTAGACTACTGAGACAGTACTCTCGGGTCTAAACAAAAAGGACTTGTTACAGACTTGTTGTGTCATTATACCCCCTCTGGGAGGCTGAGGTCTCAGGACCTGAACCCGCTCATGGAGATCGCTCCTTTAAGGTGGACCCTCCAGCGCTCTGGAACGATCTCCCGCTTTCTTTGCGCTTACTTGATTCTGTTTATGCTTTTAAGAGTGAAATGAGAAGCTATTTGTTTAAGAAAGCATTTTAATTCCAGTAGATTAAGGGTTGTTTTATTACCATGTCTTTTGTGAATGTAAATGTATTTTAGTTGTGTTTTAATTTTGTGAAGCACTTTGTGACCTCTATGTCTGTGAAAGGTGCTATATAAATAAACATTACTTACTTACTGCTTACTTACTTCTTACTAATTATTCAATTAGGATCCATTCTAGTTCTGATTTTTGTCAGATTAATAGGATTTTTTAAAGCAAAACAACCTTTAAGCAGGTATGAAACATGCTGTCATTAAGCCCTCAGGTTTACTTTACACTGTTTTTAAAGTGTCTGATACCATATTCTCGTCTTAAATGGGATGTTTTCTTTAGCTGGAACTGAAAGGCGCAAAACCATTAATCTAAATATAGTTTATCACTAAATGCTAAGTTATTAACTTAAATCACAAAGTGATTAATTTCAGTAATTTGTGTTACTAAAATATATTCATGTGTCAATAATTTTCTAAAGTATTGAATGGGTTCTAGGTGTTCCTAAAGGAGTCTCTGTACCAGAAGTTGGAGGAGAAATGGAGCAGCACCCAGACATGGGCAGCCGTCACAATCCAGAGGAACATCAGGGGCTTCCTCTGCAGAAGGAATTTCAAGTTTTTCAAACAAAAAGCGATAGTTCTTCAGAGTCACATCCGTGGACATCAGGCCAGGTATGAAAACGGCTTCAATAAGTAAAACATCTCAATCAAAGCAAACCTGCTTATCGTTATTCAAATATTGTTTCCTGGATTTGAAAAACTGTTATTTTGTGAAAAGTAAAAATAAGCATTATAAAGAAATTATTTGAATGCAATCAATATTCACCTGCATGATCCTTCAACAACATTTAGGATTAAAAATGTTTATAGTTTAATTGGATTTATAGATCATCAAAAATGGGTCAGTAAACAACTGATAAATCATTTGATTTAGGGTCACAATCCACAGCATGCCTGTTTCCATTCACATTATTCAACTGAAACAGCAGCACCTTGTTTTCTTAAAAAAGTCAAAGGATCTTTTAAAGCTTGTCCTCTTGTTGCTGTTTTTCCTGATTAATCGCTAAATATTCTCTCAATTAAAAAAATATTATTTTCCAAGCAAGCAATCCTTTGGATAAAGTCAGATCTCCAAAATGGAATCCATTGTGTGTCTGTTAGCAGTATTGAATCCCCATTTCTTGATTGTTAAGTTGGAGTACCCCACGGCTTCATACTCAAACCTATTCATTATATATTATTGATTTATCAAATATTTGCAAAGACCTTGACATCAAGGTATGTGCAGATGATCCTGTTGTTTTTATAAACTGTAAGTCTGACATCAAAGTCTCAAAAAACCTAACATAAGAGTCACATGTGTCAATGAGTGGCTTTTTAAGTTATGTCTTTTGCTAATTGCTGATTCTATACACTGATTGCATTCTATTCAAATTCTTACAAACCACATCGTCTTCCCTTCCGGGGGCGAGTTTCCTCTGGACTGACGTGTTTTTATTGGTCCTCTTTGATGTTAGTAACAACATTGTTATTGGTCAATGTACAGTTCAAGACCAAAGGTTTGTATTTGGCTTGAAGTAAAGAAAATGTGATCTGTAAAACACAATTTGAAAAGGTTGCAATTTGTAAAGCTCAATCTGAAAACTAGAAAATCCTAAAAATATATATAAAAAATGACTGTCACGATTTGTGGATTGAGGACCCAAAAGCAGAGGCAGGCAGAGGTGAATTTATAGTTGATTTAATGAAGAGGTACTGAAAAAACAAAGTCCAAACAAACAGGCAACCAGGAGTCCAAAATTCAAAGCATGAAAAATAAGTAAAAACAAACCAGAAACCATGGAGTCATCAGGGGAATTATGGTAACCAGGAGGAAGACTCAGAGAGACGAGTTGGAGGAAGATTGATGAAGTAAGAAGAGGACCCAGCAAAGAGGAACTGAAGAGAGAGGGCTTTTAAAGGAGACTGAGACAAAGAGCAGATTGGAAACAGGTGAGCACAGAGCAGAAACAAAACAGGAGCTAGGGAAAAAGGAGAACACAAGAGGGCAGCAGAGGGCAACAAATGGAAAAACCTGGAAGACTGGAAATAACTAAAAAACACAACAAAATAATAATTAAACCACTAAGACTATAAAACATGGAGCAAA